GTGAAACCTGGCCAGGTTTTGAAAGTAGAGTCAGTAGAATTTCTTAGCAAAAATTAATTCAATATTCATCATCAATAGGTCATCACTGAGAAAGGAAAAAAGAGAAAGAGAATGTGCCATCTCCTGGATGTCTACTAGTGAGCCAGGAGCTGTGCTAAGTTCTGTCCTCAATACCCAGCAGCGAGCTGCGAGCTAATAGTAAAATGATGGCGACCTCAACATGGACTCTGAATTCAAAGGAATTTCCAAGTCTCCTCTTTAATATTCTGCTGCCTCAACTTTTTTTTTCAATAATGAAAATATAAAGGGTGCCAAATGTATGAATGCTAAAGAGCAAAAAGTAGCACTGTAGTGTTGCCAGCTTTTGAACTTCCTTCTAAAATCTTGGTTGCCAGATAATCCTAAAAGGAGTGAAAACAAAACAAAACAAAAACACCTGTACAGTTAGAGACTTTTGACAGAGAAAACATTAAGCAAAGGCACTCAGAAGTGGACATGAACCTGATGGCAGGGAGGGGGAAGAGGGGGGGATCTTCAAAATAGAAAATTCCTGGGAAAAGCAAACATGCCAAATATAATCCTTATTTGTAGCACAGAAGGGGAAGCAGTGAAGTGTTATTTAGACTTGGAAGTCAGAATTACACAGAAAGTCCTCCAATCTCATTTTCACATAACCTTGGTTACCCCAGTCCCCGGATCATTTGTCTGATCCTCTGCTGAACACAGGAAACTGGCCGGACAGGAATGGTTAGTACTCAGCTCTCTCTAGGGTAGCAGCTGGTTTAATACAAATGTTAGCGGTAATGCTTGTGTCCCATGTTGCATAGCCAGTTAGGACTGAACCCAGATTCTGATACAGAAGAGTGTAAGTAGGTTTTTGGCCACTTCTCTGAAAAATGTTGGTTTCTGTGTAAGAGCCAGGTCACTGCCCTGCAAGGGTTATAAAATCGATCTGTTGTCCCTTAATATTTTTTTCTCAATTGTGCATAGGTCAGAAATTTAGTTCCAAACAACTTTCCTCACTATTCCCAAAGTGTTTTCCTTTGTTCACCATGCCACCTAACACATGCCACACCTTGCCAATAAGCCTTGATTCAACCTCCAAATGGATTCCCTCTTGTTACTGCCTACTTCAAACTCACTTGCCATGACTTGCCATCTCCTTCACACCTTCCCTGATCATCTGGCTCATGTAGTCTTTTTCCTAAATGGCCTATTTCTACATCGCTGATTCTGAGGACTAATCATACCACTTGTGAGGCTGTTAAAGTGTCATAACTGTAGCTGGGATGGTGGTGATGTGCACAATTTATTTTTTTTAAATATATTTTACTGACTTTTTTACAGAGAGGAAGGGAGAGGAATAGAGAGTTAGAAGCATCGATGAGAGAGAAACATCGATCAGCTGCCTCCTGCACACCCCCTAGTGGGGATGTGTCCGCAACAAAGGTACATGCCCTTGACCAGAATTGAACCTGGGACCCTCCAGTCCACAGGCAGATGCTCTATCCACTGAGCCAAACCAGTTAGGGCCACAATTTAGATGTAAAAAGACGCATTGATAATTTTCTGCAACTGAACACTGCACTGCTCATGATTTTCCATTTCTTCTTAGTAGCAAAACAATACTTTTTTTAATCTTGCAAATTTAGAAACCTGTCAATTCCAGATTTAAAAATCAGTCTTTTCTTTAACTTTTCAGTTCCAGATTATTTTTCTTCCCCTCCCCTCCTCTTCTTTCTGGGTAACATCAAGTTTGGGGAGGGGCTCAGAGAGTACCACAGATATAAGGCAGAAGAGGGGAGGTGAGGAGAGGGCCTCCTTAGCTCTGGGGTCCTCATCTGCTCCCACAGGTTCCCACAGCGGCCTGATGGGGCAGCCTATTCTGCTCTTGGCCTTTTTCACCACTGCATGGGGAGCTGACACTCACAGTCCTTTGCTTTTAGCTGACATACTTGGGTCCTCCTCATTCAAATGGCAGAGGCTTGCTCAGTTCTCTGGCTCTCTCTCCCTGGGCCCTCCTTGGGAGCATCGGAAACTTTTGAAAACTCTTACAGAGCCTGAAGAGGCCATCTCAGGCTCCTTTCCCCCCTTGTCCCGCCTTACCTCGCTTGCTAGTCCACACTCCAACTCCACGCTCAGCTCCTCTGAGAGGATGCAGTGACCTTAGACCATGTTCTGAGAGAAAAGACACAAATCCTCTATGCTCTGGGCTCCCCTAAATGTCTGCTGTTCTCTCATTTCCCCACAGGACATAGAATGTGGCCCACGAAGAGGATAGAAGGACACATTTCTCATTAAGCTCTAAATTCTTTTCCCCCTTTCTCGTCACCAAGCTCCAGTCCTAGCCCCCACTTCTTTAAAAATATGGTATTTTCTGTTAATGTGGGGAGAATAAAAATGTCTCACTTTGTCCTATGTTCTTTTCCATTCTCTAGTTTATTGATTAAAATGTACCCTCTGAAGCTTTCAGACTTTAATCTTGCCGATCAACGCTAAGACTTTCAAGTTCAAAGTTAAGCGTTGATTCTCTTATATTATTCTTTGTATATGAAGAAACAAACCTACACTGAAGACAGTGCCATTAACCAGTCTGAACGACAAGGAATGGGGCAGTCATGAAAGGCATTGAAAATCACATGATTTAAAATAAAAATTATATTCCACTAATATGTCATTTTTTGCTCACTAAATATAAGCTCTCCATTGTCATCTACTTATACATCTTACATATTCCCAAAGCTAGGCATTTCATAGGATTCTTAACTTGTTAAGTGAATAAATAGAGCCAAATCAAGAAAAGTAGATATTCAGAAATGTATAAAAATGCCTTCATACATTGGGAAAAGGAAGATTAATGCTAATAGTTATAATAACAATCAATGACTTTTCTGGCTATGTAACAGATGCTGTTGTAGTGCTTTACATGTATTTACAAATTTAATCCTTGAAATCTTCTGCATGGTGGGTACACTGCTGAGGCGCACAGAGGTAAAACCATTTTCCCAGTGTCAAATATCTGAGATCTGGGAAACTGAATTTCACCTCGGGCAATCTGATTCCATTGTTTGAATGCTTAGCAATTCTGCCAGTGCTGCCTCTCAGTAGGATCCTTTTTATAGATATGCCAATTAAAACATGTAAATTCATGCCAAACCATTCAATGCATCTCATCTCTGCCTTCAACCACTTTGAACTTGAAATTATATTTGAGATTTTGCCTGAAAAGCTTCCTCTAAAAATATTAGACATTCAGATAGGCTTTTTCTTATTTTTGCATATGATTTTCTCCTTTTCTTAATTACACTGAAATTTCAGTGCGTGTGTGTGTGTGTGTGTTTAATGAATACTCTTATTCTCATTTTTTAGATTCTGACTTAAAGAATTCATCTTTCTATCTTCATGTCAATTATTATTATTACTATCTGTGCTTTTAAAATTCTGTTTAATTTCCTTCTCTCAGGGCATTTTGTAGAGTAATTTTCCAGGCCGTCCTACCAACTGAGGCAAAGCTCTTTTCTACTCTACTGATGACCTGTAAACATGTGTCCTTTAAGTCAGGTTAATGTTTTTGTTATCTGCTGCATAGATTTTTCTCTTCTATAGCCTAACATTTCACCCAAGCTATGCTTCTCACATCTGAAATGACTTAAACATTTTTTTTCTACATCTGCTAAAGTCCTACTTCCCATGAATCAAAACCACTGTATGCACATTTTCTCAATGGGAAAGACTTTGGCAAAGCCTAACAAACAAATCCAGCATCCCTGCCCCCACCATATGCTATGTACTTGTTCTTATCCTATGTGCTACATTTCCTTAATGCAGTTCAAAGGCTCTCCAGGGACTGGGACCAGGACTGCTCAAACTTAAGCCGATATTATATATCATATGGATGCTCAGTAAACAATAACCAAAGACAATGATGATGATGGCACATTGGTTCCAATTGGCCCTAAATTAATATTATAACTTGGAGATTCCCTCGTATAATTAGAAAAAATCAAGAAGATCATGGTTGTAAACACACACAGGTATATATATATATAATGTTTTTCATAATGCAAAATTTTGAACAGCAACCTAATTCTTACTAGTGCTCCCCAGTTTTCAATTGTTTACACTCTAGTGATTATTTATAAAAAAAAACTCTCAATAGGATATGTATAGTCATAAGCACCACGCCCTAATTTTTTGCTTTGTCAAACAAAAGATGCTTGTTAGTTTTACTGTTGACATCTTGATCATGCTGACTCCACCATTCAGTTCATGGCTGTCTCCATGCAAGTGAAAAATTGAGCCTTGGAGGTACATGCCATTAGTAACAAGAATAGGAACCAAAAGGTCGCAGAAATTAGCTGAGTCGTGATAACATAGGGCATTAGGGTATGGATTGGCCAATTCCAGTTAAGAGAGTGTCTTGGGTCAGTTTCCTAGAAAAAGGTATGACACAACTTTATGAGCAAGATATTTATCTACGGCATGTTGTGGGTTTGGTTCCAGACCACCACCACAAAGCGAATATCATAGTGAAGCAAGTCACCAAGATTTTTGGCTTCCCAGTGCATATCGAAGTTCTGTTTGTATTATTTTTTAGTCTATTAAGAGCACAAAAGTATTATGTCTAATAAAATAATGTAAGTGCCTTAATTTTAAAATACTTTCTTACTGAGAAATGTTAATCATTGTCTGAGCCTTCACAGAGCATAACCTCTCAGCTGCTAGTGTCTTGCCTCAATGCAGATGGTTGCTGACTGGTAAGGGTGGAGGTTGTGAAGGTTGGTGGTGGCTGAGGCAGTTCTTACAACAACACTAGAAGAAAAGTTTGCTGCACCTATTGACTCCCAGGTAAATGGTTGGAGCATTTCATTGTTAGTTGCAGGATTCCCAAATTATATTGCTGGCACACTAAGACACTACGCGTAGTGTTAGCAAGCCCCACATATGCCTAAATTTCTTTCTATCAGCTCTGTAGCCCTTCACTTTTGAACGAAGCAAACCTCTAATTCTAAACATTTGAAGAATTCTCCAATCTGAAAGGAATAAAACACTACACACACACACACACACACACACACACACACACAGTAGAGAAAATAACAACAGAC